GCCCTGTCAAAATTCAGACTGTTTTTCAAGTAAGCTGATTTCGTAAGCATAAATTATGATAGAAATGTAGTGACACAAGTCAATGCTTAGAATAGATTTATCACCACTTGGCAACTTAATGCATTAGGTTTCTGTAGTTTGTACATTTTGTGACCTCTACGGTGTAAATGGAGCAAAGATACCGTAGATTTGGAGAGAATATTTAGTAACAGCATTTCTACTGATAAACTGTTATAAGTAGTAACTGAATCAATAAGCTTACAACAATGCTACGAGTAGCAATATCACTTATTTGCACTACTTAATGCTTCAACTGGCTGTTAAATGCTCCGTATGTAGCCAAGGACTATGTTAGGGTTTCGTTACTTTCCATTCATTAGGTCAGCAGCCCCTTTATTCCTTTTATGCGCCGACAGCGCCTATTCTGCCCGAGAATTGCGTCCCTGCCTTCGTGAGATGTCTCGGGACGTTGCACCGATGACAGCTTAAAGAAAATCCATCCTTAAGGGATAAACGCAAAACAGTTGGGAATGCATTGTATGGGGTAGGGAGAAGGGAAGTGGCGACGACTACCTACGGAAGGATTGACAATGCGGCCCCATTAAGCAGTCGCCTCACTTAAGTCTCAACCAACTGGCATTGAATGGGAAGCCAAGTTAGAAGAAGAAACAGATTCAAATCCCTACTAAATTCCGCCATCTGTTATTCCACTTCGATTTAATGTCGACAGTCTTGCCACTAGCTAGACAGACTTGTAACCTTCAGTCCATTCTCCCCTTCCAAGTCCTCTCCTCACACAAGGGAGTCAGTGATCTGAGGAGCAAGAATGATTTGTGGGCATCTCCTTGCAGTACCGGGCATTGAAAGGACAATGAAACACAGGATCACAACAAAGAGAGAAGGCGGCGTTGTTGGTTTTATAAAACTTATTCTACAGTACGCCTACAGTCCGACAATCACGTCTACGTTTTGTCAAAAAGGCGGAGGTCTGATCACCACAATCTTCCCACAGGTCGCACTTCCTATTTCAACACAAAGCGCAATAACCCAATTTAATTTATTCTGATGTTTAGGCTTCCGATCGGGCCAACCTGGTTCCCCAGCCACCGCCCTCTCTGGTGCGCATTTTATCTCCTCTTGTAATCAACTTGCAACTCTTGTTGTGCGATTTGCATTATGAAAGTATTTGGATAATAGAATTGTCGGCATTTTGTGCTCCAATCTCATTTAGATACCTATATACATTTTTTATTTGGTCATAAAAGTGCCTCATGCATTATTAACTCGATGAAATCTTTATGACTCCACTTAAGGAGGGCATTAAGGATTGAGCTCCATAATCGCACGCCCTCAGTCCGCCTCCTTCGTGGACCTACCGAGGAAAACTGCTGGACACATCATAAGGGACCAACTCTGTCTCTCCCCCTCTTAGTTATTCCTGCAGTAGTTCCCTCTTTTGTAGGAAAAAGTGTAATTTAGGTTCATTTAATAAATATAATGGAAATTCTGAACAAAGTGCTTTTTTGATCAGAATCAAGCCAAGGTCTTCGTGTGGCGCCTGAAGGCTTGTTGATTAGGCGCGGCCTGAGTTGTGACTCTTTTTACTGCCTATGCATACAAGTTGTGTGGTCTCCTATAAGGCAATGCGAAAACAACTGTACCGCCTAAAGTCACATAATCCGCACGGGGAGACACAAATGTCCGTGCCTCAGTGTCATTTATGGTGCAAAAAAAGCATAGGTTTTCTGGTGAACACTTTGTGGACGTGGAGATTTGAAGTGTAGTGCTGTTCGTCATGTTTTCAAGTAAAACATTGTTTGTTCGCATGGCTACGCCTTCTCGCTCCTCCTCCTCCTCCTCCTCCTCCTCTTCTTGATGGTCGCCATCATCATCGCCATCATAATCCCATTTTGCTTCTTCGGTAACTTCATTTCCACTTGCTCAGCTTTTAGCTGGCAAGGGAGGACTGCTTCACTAGTGCAAAAAAAGAAGGAAAACGAACGAGAACGAACGCAAGTTTGTGCAACAGTACGAAAGTCTTTAAAGGCAACATCTCGCCTCACAGTCAAGTTTCTACTGCTTGCGTGTTTCCTCGTCTCCGTGTGTCCCATCCACTGCTCAAAGGTCTTTGCCTCAAAGTCACTCCCAAAGTACCCCTCAAACATTTCACGTTAAGGCGATTTATGAGTAGAGGTGTGAAAGCTCACAGGCAAGTAGAAAGGACACCCCACAAAGGCAGTGATTAAGACGCACTTTGGAGTGGACAGTTCAACGAAGTGTTCATCGCCCTCCCAAACGCCTCCATTTCTAGCCTTTTATAACTACCTTAATCATTTTGTAACCATTTTTACATTTAAAAATTTTGTTTTTAAACTGTCTTGAAGAAATTTTCCTTTGAAAAGTGTTTAATTTGCCATTTGATGTGTTAGTCGTAAAACTGGGGCATTCATGGGACGGCATTTGACACTGCGCAGTTGCCAATGCAACCCCTTCAAGTTGGTCCCTTGGCTCACTTTCTGCACAAACGGTAATTGTGCGAGGAGGCAGAAAAGTTCTGTAATTTCTTCCTCACCTTTCCTCCTCCTCATTTCACTCTTCCAAAGGACGAATTTTCGAACCCTCGCCAAGCGTACTTTTATGTTGTAAAGGAAATGCGTTGCAACCCATCTTAGTGGAGCGGATGGCAATGCAATGAGAGGAAGATGGACAAAGGACGTGAGCACTGGACAGTAGTCGCAAAATTTCCCATAAAATGCGTCACTAAATTGCATATGCTATGAGAGAGAGGCTGCTTCGAGTGACGATTGACACAGAGAAAGCGCTCAATGTTTACTTTTGATCAGTTTTTTTCTGGGTCATGAAGCCCGTGATTTCACACCGAACGATGAGCCTTTCTCAGATGTCTATGAAGTCCTCCTTAGAAACGTTTTTTTGGTGGAGTGGCTAAGCCTTCATCGCGCCCTCCGCCTCCACAACGAGCGTCAACCACCACCTCAATGTGACGCTGCTCCGTGGCGTGTGCCGTCTGTCACGTCTTCACACAGTCGGTGGAATCGACTCCCACGGCACATTACTTAGGTAGTATAAATTTGCATTTTTTTGGCCTCACATATATGATTGCACAAAAGTGTAACTTGGAGATTCCGTTCGCAAACCATAAATGTACGAATTAAGCTTTGATCACCTCCAAAAGAGTGTTTTTTTGTTACAAAAAAGAGAGAAAGCCTTACGGATTTCAGCGTTCCAGATTGTTTAAGTTGAAAAGAGCGCAAGTTGAATCTTCTACCTCACACATGGAATAAAGGCGGATGGCATTTGTCACGAGGAGTGAGGAAGGGAGGAGACAACTTACGTGACTGCTATAAAGTAACAAAGTGCGAGGCCTCTTCAGGATTCAGTTGGCCCAGTTGGAGCATTCGACTGACACGATGCAGGACAGCCACAGAGGGCGGAGGATAAGTCACTCGATGTCAGAAGGATTATTCGAGAGTGGAGTCAGTGCCTGGAATGATGCGTGTGCATGAGAATGGGCGTTACACGGATCGGATGCAGCGAAAATCTCAATTCATCCTCGTGGGAGTGGTGAACAGCACATTTGCTCTCGCAATAAAAGGAAGGGTTATTAGAGGCCAAGCTTAAAACTATTGCTCGAATGACGTTAAGCAGGTGCAAATGTTGGGAAGAATTTCATCGCCTAGTGCTACTTTATTGCTCAAAGTATCAACATCGACGATGCATTACACCGTCCACAAAACAAAACTGATTTTCTGCCCGTCTGATGGTTCATATTAACATTCATTTATGGGTGCTCCCAGCCCTCTACCTGGTCTGAAAGAGCACTTTTGCCTAGCAATAATTCCAGTTACCTTTTACTTGGGACTAAAAACAAATATCCAAGTTTATGGCACCAGTACCGAGTTGTTGATAAAGAGAAAATAACATTTTAGCAAATGAACTGGTATTAAACAATTCGACACGAGTGACTGGTGCAACTCGTTAAAAATCCCATTCCATGCACAAATAGTTTTAAATCGAGCAAATTTTTGGCACCTTTGTCCTACCATCAGAGACAACATGTTTAGGTCAAAGTCAATTCGAGGGATGAGAACAGAGTCATAAAAAGAGCTTGCTTTCTGACCTCTCGGTCTTAAATTGGGTGACCACATCGCCCTCACAGGGTGGACCGGTGTCTGAGCCATGTCTGCATCTCTAAGTCGGTTCTGTTAGCTAAACATCTACCCATTATTGCGCCCTTCTTGTCTCCAAAGAAGCCTTTGAACAGTAATGCTGGTGAAAATGGAACATAAATGTGGATTTTAAGAGAGAATTATTGTTAGAGACACATTGTCAAGGTGAGAAAGTTTGGCTCTGTAATACTGTTTCTATGGCTCCTTGAGGTCCGGAGGTTACCTTGGCATCTGTCTGGCCCTTGCAGGAGTGGGCTGACCTTTAAGCTAATTCGAAACCTAGTTCCTCCTACATGCTCATAGAATGCATACATTTAGCCCAGCTTAATGCCTTCTTCCATATAGTGGAAAGTCTATGGACAATCCGCTGGTGGCAGCAGAAAGCGAACCCGACATGTTGATTACTTCTCTTCTCCAACATTCACCGTTTTGACATATCTACAATATGGAAGAAATCATGCACTTCAGGCAGAAGATTCTTAGAAAACTTCAATGTACTACAAGCACATAGTAAGAATGAAGAAATCGCTTGCTTTTACAGAAGACTGACTGAGAATGACATCTGTCCTCTGTATCCATCAGAGTCCAGTTTTATGGAACAAGAGCACGATAACAGAGGAAATTTTAGCCATGGTAGGTCTGACAAAGCTTCATTTTGAGTGATACCAATACACATGTGCGAAGATATCTAAAAAAATCAATATCACGCAAGTCTACAAATCTTAGACTCCTTTTCACAAGCCGGCTGTTCGGGTGACCTTCAAATTTCTGGTTCTCAAAATACTCAATGGACAGCAGTACATATTTAGCAGAATGCCCAAGGGAGATAGCTTTCTTTGCGTGCGACTACCTATCTCTCAGTACCTACCTCGTCGCGACGACTTTGATAATCGTATCGCCTTTGAAATTCGCATGATTTCTGGACAATGTCAGTGGGCCCAATTCATTCCGCTTACAGAATGTCTCCCTCGTGTCCATGCTTTGCGTCATCAACCTTCCTCAAGAAGAACTAAGGACAAAATGGGAACATAAAGACCATGTTTCGAGCCAAATTTATTATGATATTTTTAAAAACAAGCATTTTGTCGTAAAAACTTTTTTATTTTAGCTATACTTATGATTGCCATATCCGCGATGAAACTGTCAATAGAAAATACTAAACTATATTTCTTTTTAGGCACCGCCCATCAAAATAACTTCTACGACACACAAGGATGGTAAACAACACGTCTTTACCGTGGATAACTTTGATCGGTTCAGGCATTTGTCTAGGCCATTCGGAGCGCGCACTTTTCAGTATGACGTCTTAGTGTGAGGATGGTTTTTTCGTCCCTGACACGCAAACCAGGGCTGATCGTATTTGACCTGGGTAAATTACGTCTTGGATAGCTTGCTTTTTTGGTAATGTAGGTAGCGTCGCAGACTGTATAGCCCGTGATTCATGTCTTAATCGTTCACCTAGCTTTTATTTGAGCCTCTTGGATTTGTTTCATTTCAGACTGCACGTTGTGGCCCTTCGACTGTGATGATTACTACGCTTCAAAACTATATGAAAAGTGATTTGGATCGGGAAATGTTTGTAAAACTGTTTTCTTAGAGATGGGACTGTATATGACAGTTCGGATATGCCGGTTAAACCATACCCTCACTCTGAAACTGTGTTGCGCCGAATCAAAGAGGAACCTGACGTAAAGCTGGGTGTTGCTTCAATGTAAGTCTTGACTGACGATTTTGTGAATTATAAAGCTGATTAGCTAATGCAGTACTGTTTATAGGACGAGTTCTCCGCGAGTAGGCCACAAGTTGATAAAGCTTTTTGGGTGGGACAAGTACTTCGACTACGTGGAGATATATCCCACATCCAAGACAAAACACTTTAAGACGTAAGCTACCCTCGTTTCTGTAAATCTTCATAGACTTGCCCAGAAGTCGGGTCTTTCCTTCGACCAAATGCTTTTCTTTGACGATCTCTCGTATAATATCCGTGAGGTGGGCAACCTCGGTGTTCATACTGTGCTCGTTCGCAACGGCGTGGATCTCACTCTCCTGCGATTCGCCCTTGAGGAATTTGCATCAATTAGCCCCGGAGCCTAGCCGCAGAGAGCCTCTTTCGGACTCCAGAAGACTCATTTCACGGTTATTTTACCTTGTAGCCTTGAATTGGCCCTCGTTGCCCTCATGACATTTAGTAAATTTACTGGAAGATTATAGTTGTTTGTGTTTAACTTGTGGAGTTCCAACATTGGTGTCCACTTCACTGAACAACATTGCCTTACGTCGCTCTGAGTAGAATCTGCCGGCACTTTATCCATGCTGATAGACTGCCCTTCTGCTTAGCCTTTCCCGGTTGTTTTGTGTAGGTGAAAGTTATGCAACTCGACAACGGGGTTTAGTGCATTTGGTTGGCACGGGTCGGCTCTGTGGTCCCATGTCTCAGGAAAGTCTCGGATTCTGGCACTGACTGGTTTCATTACCGGTCTTTTGTGTTGCTAAGGTACTGTTATGAGGACAAACTCTGGGAAGTTCAGAGCGTTTTGCTCATCAATAGGTCAATACGTAGTGTAGGCCCTCAATTATAGTGGGCCGACATCGTCTTTAATGTGTGCTGCCACGAACTGGAAACGCTTCAGGCGTTGGCGGGGAAGTGTGTACCTACATCACCAGCCCCTCAATCGGATTTCTTACGGGATCACATTTGCGAGTAGGTGTTACCTAGGAAAAGTGCTGCAGCACCCGTCGGCGGTACTGAGAACAGAATAAACGCGAACAAGTGCTTGCTCGCAAGGTAAAATGGATGCCACGAATGCGGAAACCACGTTCTGGGAAATGAGAGCCTGATAAGCAAAGCAAAAAATATGGACATGTGCAAAAAATATTTCGTTAGCAAAAAAAATAATAAAATGTACATAGGAGGTACATTACGTCTTCTTCTCAACCCACTCCACATCTTGATCACTATCATCGCTGGATTGGGATGAAGAACAGGAGCAGGAGGTGTTGTACTCACGCCTTCGCCTCTTCCTCTTTTGCTTCACCTTTGTCTTTTCTTTCTTACTTTTCGTCTTCCTCCCTTTCTTGCGCTTTTTTAGATTTCGTTCAGAGACATAAGACGATGAACTCGAAGACGATGAAGGAACAGAAGATTTAACAGGCGGAGAAGATCTGGAATTAAAGGATGGTTTTCGAGGACAAACACTAGCTCGCGATCGCAAATTCACTTCGATCGACAAAGGAACAAGAGGACCAGGTTTCTCAAGTTCCTTAAACCCATCATGACCCCAGCGACCATCGCTGTCGCCACTACAACGAACGACCTGACGCCAGAAATCCAAAGCGGTTGTAGGAGCAGCCGCAGAGGCAGTGATTTGCGAATTCTCTTCCAATTTACGCTTGCGCTCACGACGCCACTCACGCTCCGCGGAGTCACTGCGAGATTGCAGAAGTGATGAAGGAGATTTCGACGAGTTTCGATAGTGGCGTCTGGCTCTATCACGCTTACGATTCTTATACTCCCGCCAGCAACGTTCCTCCTCTAAAATCTATTAATCAGAACATCATGAGCATGAATGATAGGTTGCCACACGATAAAAATAGCAAAAGCTTGGTGTGACACTGGCAAAAAACAAATATACAAACAACAAAACAAAGACAGAAAATTTAATGAGACCAAAAAGCCGTTCTAGCTAAAAGATCCGCTGCAAAAGGGAGAGTATAAAAGTAGTAGCAGGAAAATTGGATCGTTTCAACTCACCCTATTATGAATCTCACTTTGCTTGACATAACCCAGAACAAGACGCTTGTCCTACAAATATTACGAGAATATTTATTTATGCGCAAAAGGACAAAATTAGGAGAAGAAAAAACGACAACACAAAGTATACGTACCGGCATCAAAGACTATCAACACACAAGTATTAGAACTATCGCCTGCTAAGCAGAATATCCAAACAAATATATTAGCATCCAAAAAATATCAGCAGCAATTTAGAACAATAAAAATAAAAAAGATGCGAGTATGCATTAAGTAAAAATTATGATTCATATAAAGGGCTGCCTTATGAAGGCATGGTCAAATTTACTAAATTCGTTGCGTCATTAAGTGCTGAAAAGCAAGGTGTCATTTCCGACACCTAAACACGGGTTTTGTATGGGAAATTCCCACACGAAACTTTTCCAGATATTTCACGGCGGTGTCGCTTCAGTTGTTAATAGCTTGTTTGTGGAACACGGGAAATAAGGTGAAACCAAATGCAGACGTCAGTCTCAACCCTTTCGTTGTGAAAGGTCCAGGGATCCTCCGTCATCAAGGTAAATGCGCCCCCTTCAATTCACGTCCCTTTTTCGCCTGTATCTTTATCTACTGCACTTCGATAGATAGAGTCAGACTTCCTTCTACGCATGTATAGCTCATGATTGCCAAAATGCGCTTCTTAATCTTGGATTTCTCCCCTAAGAAGCAGAATTCGTTTGCAGTCTCGTCTCCTGGTTGGATTATAACCTTCATGTCGTGGAAATAGAGATTTCGACTTTCCGGCCGAGGGAACCCGATTTTGAGGTATCTGCATGTATTGGACCAGTGCATCATCCGATCGAACCGTTGCTCGTCGGTTTGTTCGCACTGTTCATTTCCGAAAATCAGTCGGCTAATTGGCAAAGTTTAGCAAGGCAAAC